CAAAATTAATATGATGGATGACATCTGAATTGCAGAGCTTGAACTTGAGTTGAAAGACTACCCATTTTCAAGGCTGTTTTTTATAGAATAGCCTTAGAAAAAATGAAAATTGTAAAAATTACGCATATTGCGAATCTACAAGTGGTATATATATAGTGCCATGTCCTGAAAAACAATGTGTCTTGAAGGACGTGGTTGTCGCACCACGCATGCGCAAGATATGGGTCTCATATAAACAAAGATGGCGACGCTGACTGTTGCGCAGACCAACATTTACAAATTGAGACGTTACCAAGTTATAAGTAGGTAATTTCTTAGATTGGAAATATTTGAAATTATCGCAAAAGTCACCGGCGGTTATTAGTGCACTTCGCGCCCAGGTCAAAACTCGTATGTTTGATGACATTAGAAGAGCACATTGGATTGTGAGAAAATCAATGTTTATCAACATGAAAGTCGCACATGCGCGGCTCGACGATCACCGCCTTTTACTTGAAACATTTATTGTTAATTAAACTGTATTTTCTACAAATTGACTGAATCCGGGGGGAAATAATTAAGTTGGGAAAATTTGAGGATCTGAAAAACGGATAGATTGACATAAATATAACCAAATAAGCATGGTCAGGTATTATCTCGCCCAATATTGCGCACATGCACGTCCTTGCCCTGTTACCACACAGTAATGGTCAGTCTTTTATCCTTAAACTATTTGACAATTGGTCTATTGATGCCATGTGAGATACGTGATAGGGTTGACTACGATGAAGCCAGGCTGGTATGGATCTGTAACAGTCATGTGATTGGTCGGGCGCGAGTCATCGAGTCACTGGATGGTAGGTCACCTCTGTTTATACACATCACATTCAAAGTTCTGTGTAGACGCGAAGGCGCTGACAGTAGTCTTGTCGTTGTGGTTACAATGTCGATCACAACGACACTTTCAGTGTTTATATGAGATATTTGACGGTACATGAGTATCGACTCGATGATTCTTAAGTTGGGTGATATTGTTATGACGAACGAAGAAAAGTAATCAATGGAAAAATTGAAAAAAAAAACTTTAATATCCGTCAACATTTAACGAAATGGACAACGGATTAGAAAGACGAATGCCACATATTAAATTAGTCTTCGATTACCCACGTGAAGCAACTTTCTTAAACTTTGTTTATTCTTATTGAAGCAAAATAAGCGAGGGAGAGCTTTTTGTATATTGACTTTTCAAAACAAATCACTTGCTTTAAACACTAATTGGACTGTCTGCGGTCCAGTTGAACTGTATTGAAAACGCCATGTTCAATTTGACCACTGGTAGCTAAAGTGATCATTGGTTGAGCACGTACTTAAGATAACGGTCTTAAGTCTTGTTGTCAGTTATCATGTAAGTTGCATTGAGTAATTTGCTTGTATATTTTCTTAAATTAAATTAGCTCTCACGAGACACTGTTCTTGATTTGGCTGAACATCATCCATGTTTCATATATTATCGATGACAAGTTTTAAAACATGTGTGATACATAGGCAGACTGTAAAACTTACAGCTGTCATACAGCGACATATGTCTATTTTCCTGGCGGTTACCTTTATTCTCCAATGCGGCAACAAGTGACAACTTGGCGCCACTGGGGACAACTGTTCGAGATCTGTTCCTGTCCGTTTTACAGTAACGCTTACATATACAAATAAAGCTAGCCACACATGACAGTCAAATTAGATTTGTATACTGATATACTAAGCTAATCAAATGAGCCGAGCTCACAACATGTATACCAAATATCCAAAACCAATGCATACCTCCAATCATAACTCATAGATTAGGCGGGCTTGTCAAATCTTCTTCATAACTGGGCAGTGAAAAACGAAAGGGATGGAATTACTACACTTCTGTCAACAGAGGGGTTTCACGTTCCCACCAGATCACCGTAAACACGTCATTGTGAATCATTCTATGTGGACTGTTTGGGCCAATCTACGCAAGACATCTTGGTTTACAGTATTTTTCTGTTAAAGTATGTGGAAATATTATAATATATAGTTATGGCTATTCTATCGGCTGGCATCGACTTAATTCACCTTGGCTATTGCACTTTGTCACTAATTGGGTTAAAATGTTATCTGGGTTCACCATATCTTCATATATACACCTGTGGTGTTTAAAATCTGAATATACACACGTGTGGTGTTTACCATCTTCATATATACACCTGTGGTTTTTAAAATCTGCATATAAACACGTGTTGTGTTTCATCTTCATATATACACCTGTGGTTTTTACAATCTGCATATAAACACATGTGGTGTTTAAAATCTGCATATAAACACGTGTGGTGTTTACCATCTTCATATATACACCTGTGGTTTTCAAAATCTGCATATAAACACGTGTGTTGTTTATCATTCATATAAACACTTGTGGTGTTTGCAATCTGCATATCAACGCGTGTGTTGTTTATCATCTTCATATATACACCTGTGGTTTTCAAAATCTGCATATAAACACGTGTGTTGTTTGTCATTCATATAAACACTTGTGGTGTTTGCAATCTGCATATCAACGCGTGTGTAGTTTCATCTTCATATAAAAACGTGTGGTGTTTACTATCTTCTTATATACACCTGTGGTGTTTACAATCTGCATATAAACACCTGTGGTGTTTACAATCTGCATATAAACACCTGTGGTGTTTACAATCTGCATATCAACGCGTGTGATGTTTCATCTTCATATAAACACCTGGGGTTTTTACAATCTGCATATAAACACCCGTGGTGTTTACAATCTTCAAATAAACACCTGTGGTGTTTACAATCTGCATATAAACACCTGTGGTGTTTACAATCTTCATATAAACACCTGTAGTGTTTACAATCTGCATATCAACGTGTGTGGTGTGTGTGAGACGTTACCAATCTTTAATTAGCTATGTTTTAGGTGATTGAAAGGTATCAAAGGAGTCACTGGCGGTGCAAGTAGCGCCAAGGTCAAACCTCATACTTGTGATTTCCATTTGATTGTGGGAAAATCAATGTTTATCAACACAAATGTCGCACATGCGCAGCGCGACTACCACCGCCCTTTAAGCCTGTAATTTGAACATAAAAAATGCATTTAATAAACAACCTAACCAATTATAATTAGGTGACATTCACCTCGCTTGCCAAGTATTTAGTTACTATCATTTTAAAATGGTTAATATAATAAATTGGCCACTACACGATAATGTACGCGCATGCGCAATTTTACCCATTAATTGTTAATTGGCACGATATTGCACAGTTAAACTGCATTGACTGCGTGTTCAAACATGGCAGCTGCAAATGGCGATGGTAATGGATAGAAACCAATGATTTTGTAACGTTTTATTTTCATATTTTGTATTGTATTGTAGTTTGCCGTGGTAGAAATTCAGTCACGGCGAATGTCGGATTTAGTGATGATAAACCACTAGATCAACGTTGTCATGGTTTTGTTGCGCATCTGTTGAATATTCCGAAAATAAATAAATTTGACTTTTTTTGTATATCGAATAGGAATAAATCATAGTGACGAATTTAGCATATTCATAAGGGCAAAGTTCAACGAGCATGAGTGAGTTTGAAGTGGACACGAAGGGGTTCCCACGCAAGAATATTTTTATTACCACTGTACTAGCATAGGGCAAATTACTGAAACTGTCCGATATATATTAAGTCCGTCCCCTCGCCCTTTTTTCAACAATAGCTTTACTGATAATTGTTAATTGAGGGGATATTGTTTCACTTATCTTCCCAAGAGTCACATGTGGTGACTCCTTTGTCCGGGCAAACACATTCATTCAAAGATTGGTTACACCGTAACGTCTATAGTAATACGCAATTATATATTCACAAATACGTTTCCTGAAACGTTATAAACATTAATAAATACTCATCATAGCATATACTCGGAGAATTCAGGGGCTCTTTCAGTCTCAGGCTTGAACCATAATAAAGGCCTGAAATAGTTAGAAAGTGGTTTTCAAGAGCTATTTCAGCATCTGCATATTATCTTTTGACCCTTTTAATGGCAATACTCTTTTCCAGACCGATATATATCTTTCTACAAACAACCCCTGGCGTGTATTTCGCTTCTGTTGACAATTCGGCGCATTGGCCTGTGACGTGGGAACAATCTGCGCATTGGCCTGTGACGTGGGGGAACATTACTATATTATTATATCCAATAGCACTGACAGCGAATCAAACTCGTGGTTTCGTGCGTGTCAATGAGTTCGAGTACTGACGACTCCTTTAATAATATAACTTGCGCGTGCGCAATTACGCAGTAAATATTGTCAACATGACCTTCCGCGGATATGATGGTTTCACGATATTAATTTCTAGTAATATTCCATGTGTTTCTTTCTTCTTAGTTTATGTGGTTTCACCTGCTAGATTTGCGATTGCGAAGCTCGATTATTGACGTTAATTTCCCATCATTTACACGACAGTACAGGTATACCTCCGAACATGATATGTCCATGGTTCAAAATAATATTATGATCAACCCGGCTCGTTACTGTCAATGTAAAATAAAACTCGTTAATATTAATCGTTATTTTGGCATAGTGAGTTATTTACATTGTACTACATCGAGGGCCACCAAAGGGTTTTACACTAATATCTGGCATAGCTTTAACCTTGGCACCCCCTCATAGGGTGGCACTGCTCTGCCATGAAAACTTCCTCCCTACACGAGAGTAGTTCATGCAAACCAATAGAAAGCGTTTTCAGTTCGCGGTTCTCTTTAACAAGGCAGATCATTTAAATACGTTCGCATAGATCCATCATTCATCTAAGTGACAAACTGGTCTGTGTGTGTATTCACGTGAGTCTGAGCGTACATGTGCAAAAACACACCAAGTCACAGCATCTAAGTCTGTTTTGAATATTGGTAAAGGGTTGTCATAACACTCTAGCTACTGTATAAACTGTACGTTATCGTCACTTACCCGGCCTACACCGTTATGAGCAAAAACATGGACAAGCAAAACGTGCGCGGGACCTACGTCGAACTGGCTAACATGAAAGACATCATGGAGGAGGACGACGACGACGAATACAAGAAACAAGCAGATGGCGACGTCAAAACTGGTCTAAACGGCCCAGAATCATTGCAACTGACACTAAACAATACAGATTATGATCCCGACGAGACTAAGAAGAAGGAAAAGGAGAAAGAAGTTGAGGATAGCGAATCAGTTACAGATGTTAGGGGAGAAGGTTGGGCTTCCAAAACAGACTTTGTTTTAGCATGTATTGGATATGCAGTTGGGCTTGGCAATGTTTGGCGCTTTCCATATCTCTGCTACAAAAACGGGGGAGGTAAGTGATGAAGGCTATTATAACTAAGAAAACTACGATTATGACATCTCAATATCGTGTGTAATAAAATCAATCAATCCCAACAAATCGGTTGAACAGTTGCTACCTAGGAAGAGCAATTATCGAGGTCATAGTTCCCTGCAGTGTGATCATTTCAACGTGTCAGTAAAAGTCAAATAAAAACTGCGGAAATTGAATATTTCAACGTGTATTAATTAAAATGTCATAACCCCCGATATGGTGCAATTGCATAATTCTGCGTCATGTAGTGTCATGTTTACATATACCCCTGTACCACTAACAGAACTGTTTAAGAAAAAAGAAGTATTCATTTAATTAACCGTAATGATGTTAATAACTTCAAGTATTTTATCAGGGAGGCCAGGAGGAACTTCAATTGATATTTCGTTTTCGTATTCACATAAATAAAATTGTTCTTCAAACCACGTGACTGGGTTGCTGCCATGCGTTTCCTATGTTTACATTCTGTGTCATGATCACTAACTCTATCTGTCTCAGCCCCCCCCCCCCCACACACACACACACACACGCTCACACGAAGTAGATGGTAACCAACGTGAGTGGATAATTATGAAATACTTTTATATTAACTATATTTTTACTTTACTGGATTCTTGTTTGTGTGGAGCGCTAGCGTCAGAGCCTAGATGCCGGCCGGCACCTCGGTATGTCGGTATTTATTATGACTGAGTGTCACGAGGCTGAATGGAATGACATAAGTTGTGTTAAGAATCGCCATTCAGGAATTCATCAAGGACATTTACCCCAAATTACATTTCTATTGTCGTGTTTGCTAATATCAATTTTGGATGTGTCATGGAGTTTTCAGGAAATTCTAAATAACTTTCAATGTCAACATCGGTATGCAATAAACTGCGGTACGGTAAGGGTTAAGTACACGTCCCCAAGTGTTCTCATTTGGTTATGAGATGAATATGACTAGATGTAGTATCACCACATACTAGTACTTTGTAAAAAAACAAACTACCCGTCATGTTAACAAAGACCATGGCATTATATTGCTATAAATATCAACCAGTTATAGATGTAAATTGCAAACATGTCTATATCGTGTCTTACAGCGGCGTGGATTCATAAGGATGTCACGTGACATTTGCATACCCATGCGAATTATCAACATTACACGGATAGCATGCAAACCCTAAATACTGGAAAGGTCACGTGATCTACTAGTCACGTTTTCAAACCATGAACAACAAACATTAACATAATATACCCATGTGCTTTAAACGCGCCAGTTTATAGCTGTATTTCCCGCCCAGATTGAAACCTAAATCTCGAACTGCTCTGACATTTATTTGGCCTGTCTGGTATCTGGTATGAAATTGGATACTACCGGGCCTCTCGCAAATATGACGTATAGATCTGATACGTACGGATATACAACAACACGGTCGGTCGTTAATGGGTCACTCAGTTGTGCTTGAAATGTTTTACCCTTAAAATAGGTTATCCTCAACTATGTGGGACATCCATATATCGGCCAGTATTTATTGACAATTTAATTTCACGTTTCGTATTTTACGTAAGCTTGGTGACGATTTTCATGTTATAGAAACGTGTTGGCACCTGTCCATGCTTTGCGAATTTGAGAATCTTTTTACGAGTCGTACCTTGGCACGATTCCAATATATTTCTAGGTTTTGGCAACGCATGGCGTATATTTACCCTGCTGTTGAGCAGAAACTATGCTTTGGCAGCTACACATAAAAACACCGTAGTTGTGAATAAGTTACTATGGGGCGTACATCGTAGTATTTATTGGTGTTATACAATAGTATACATTTATAGTATGTGTTTATTATAGTTGAAGCGTGGTTCAATAAATATTCAGACTATGTAGACGAAAATTCAGGATTCTAAATGCATCACGGTTTTCAGGCCCTATATTTGAACTCGTGTCATGAGTGTAAACGGGCTACGGTACGACATTGAAAATGACCTACGGTTACGTCGACTTAGACAGAAAACGTGCACATTGCTACTAGCGTGGGATACTTTACCATATGCCACGGTGATTTACTGTCTCCCGGCCACGTGGTGAAAGACGGTATGACCTTGAGCAAGCAGTGAAATCAAATTCTGCTTACCCTTCTATTAAAATTCACACTTTATGTTCACGTATATACATTGTTGATTTTATTTGTAAAATTGGGGAGGGGAAACGGGGGCGACTTTATTTATTTATACACTTATTATTTATTAACTCATCAGTTTATACAATATAAACTGCATGCAGAAAATTGGGTCGTGACACAGATTTTAACCGACCACGTGTCTTCAACACAAATGCCTGGGTGACTCCACCGTCAGGTTCCTATCATCATGTCGGGATAACTTCACTGTCAGATCCGTGCTATATATGTGGCAGATCAGACGTGACTCTCAGTCTGCCCATAACATACCAGGGGTGACTCCACTGTTAGACCCGTACCGTATTGATGGTGACTCCACCCCTCAGAACCGTAACGTTCGGGATGACGCCAGAGCCATACGATTCTGTATGCGATTCCATCCTCAGATACGTATCATATCGGACATGACTCCACCGGTCAGAACCGTATCATATCAGTCAGACATGACTCCACCAATCAAAACCGCATCATATCGGACATGACTCCACCAATCAAAACCGCATCATATCGGACATGACTCCACCTGTCAGACCCGTACCATAGCGGACATGACTCCACCTGTAAGACCCGTATCATATCGGACATGACTCCACCTGTCAGACCCGTACCATATCGGACATGACTCCACCTGCAGACCCGTACCATATCGGACATGACTCCACCTGTCAGACCCGTACCATATCGGACATGACTCCACCTGTCAGACCCGTACCATATCGGACATGACTCCACCTGTCATACCCGTACCATTTCGGACATGACTCCGCCCATCAGACCCGTATCATATCGGACATGTCTCCACCTTTCGGACCTGTACTATATCGGACATTCCTCCACCTGTCAGACCCGTACCATATTGGACATGAATCCACCTGTCATACCCGTATCATATCGGGCATGTCTCCACCTGTCAGACCTGTACCATATCGGACATGACTCCACCTGTCAGATCCGTACCATATCGGACATGACTCCATCCATCAGAACTGTATCATATTGGACATGCCTCCACCTGTCATACCCGTACCATTTCGGACATGACTCCGCCCATCAGACCCGTATCATATCGGACATGTCTCCAACTTTCGGACCTGTACTATATCGGACATTCCTCCACCTGTCAGACCCGAACCATATTGGACATGAATCCACCTGTCATACCCGTATCATATCGGACAAGCCTCCACCTGTCAGACCCGTACCATATCGGACATGACTCCGCCCATCAGACCCGTATCATATCGGACATGTCTCCACCTTTCGGCCCTGTACTATATCGGACATTCCTCCACCTGTCAGACCCGTACCATATTGGACATGCCTCCACCTGTCAGACCCGTACCATATCGGACATGACTCCACCT